TTCCGTTGCTTCGACCCAAGGTTTAAAGAGAATATCCATTGCCATCCCGCTTTCGTCATCAGAGATATCAACATTTGTCGAGAAAGCTACTCAAAAGGCCGTTTAAAATCCAGGAAGAGCCATCAGCAGTCGAGCAGCCGAAGAAAACCAAAATGGCTTCCCGTTTCAAATAAAGTTACTCTTAAACAAATAAAGTTACTTTTTTTCCGCTAGTTATTCAGCTTGTGTGGTATATACTAAAACAATTATTCACCTCCACTTCGGTGAATAATCGTTAATTATGCGGCTAGCTCCGAGAACAGGCAAGATGAACGAAATCATCGCTGTGATTGGCTACTCGAGCGAGCAGGATGGTGAATTCTTTATTGACCAAGTTGCTTGGTCAAGATGGCTGGATATTGGCCTCGTTCTTTTTTCTTCCGAATTTATGGACCTCTACTCCGTCTCGGTCCATAAAAACACGCAATAATAAAACTTGGTCAATATCCAGCTATCTTGGCCTCACGCTTGGTCAATAACCCATATTTGTTTATAGCGGAGCTCCGGCGGCCCGAAGGGCCGTCAAGCGGAGCACTATACCTATAGAGAAAGTAAAGGAAACTCATGAAATGATTTTCTCATGGTTATCATAGCTAGCGGTATTGCTCGATGGCGGGTACGCACGACGACGACGACGACGCCGAAGTTGCGCAAGATGGCAGCCATATTCCAGCTCATATATAGGTTGACAGAGACATGCAGCCTCGGTTTATAGCCTACTTCTTTGATATTGGACATCCATGTTATGGTCAATTGACACCTGTCAAAACAAGGTATCAGCTGACCAGTATCACATGACCATATTGCGGGCTCATAGCGATCATGTGCTTTTTAAAGTTTACCGCTGACCAAATGCTGGTTTCCCGGTTTTTCGGTTGGATCGCGGGCTCATGTCAGGTTAACTTGTAAATAGTTATTCGGAACCCAGTTAACGTGACTCAAAACAGTAATATTTCCGTGAGAAGCCTGGGCTCTTAGGCGCACTTCCTCACGAGGCATCACGCGATCACCCGAGGGGTCGCGAGATAGCGCGCGAGATTTAAAGTTTGCAAAATTCACAACAAACAGGGCGGCGCGATGCCTACTTCGTAAAACTTTGTTTCCGCTAAGTTTAGTGAACTGTTTGCGATATCGCTTATTTTAACCTTCGAAAACATCCATCCTTCAGCCAATTTCAAAGGAAGAAACATTCTTTTAAGCCGCTGTGCTGGAACGTAAATGAAAATTGTGATGTTGATGTTACGATCGATCGCGCCGGCGTCGGCGCGCATAGATGCAGACTGCGCAGTGAAACCGGATGGGCAGAATTCGGTTATTTCAAAATGGTTGCTCCCAGAGCTCTTCGTTTTCCGACCGCTGGTCAAGGGGAACGATGACTCTGGGAACGAGATTGTATGTAGCCTGGCTAAATCTATATATTAAAACTGGTTCCACTCCTTTTGTTTAAGCTGGTTTCGGTTGATCTTGCCTGTTAGCGTAGTGGGAAAGGCATCCACAAATTCTATCTGGAAAGAAATAAAAAGGACAATATCAGTGTATGTTCTTCCATGTAAGGCATTTAATTGAGCTAGTCACGGTCAGGTCCTCGCTGGGCAAGTGTTTTACACGTACGTAAGCAAGTCTATCTCTAGATGGTAATGGTTTAACAGTTGATTGATAGTTCAAGTCTGAGCTTTTTTTTCTTAAAAGAAAGAACGCGAGCAAAATTTCAAATAATAAATATAACTAAATAACTTTATGTAAATGCCAAATCTATGTAGGAGCGCTTTGCCGATTGAAGACATTAACTAAATAAACAAATTTTGTAACTAAAACATAATTGACCTTCCTTGGGCTCATCCAGGCTCCTGTCTTCTTTGTCACGTAATCTTGTAGTTCCTTTATCATCTCATTTGGTTCTTTGTTCTTAAAATCACTGGACAACACGACAAATGCTTTCACTGACGCCTACAGAAACGGTCAGAAATGCGTGAAATTAGACCATGAATACTGCATTCCCAAAACAAGTTTTCTTTCTCAGACAACTTAACTTGACGGAATTCAAGTCGAGGAAGCGTGAAGCGCAAGATTGGAAACAGTACGTGTTTGCTTCTTGTGAATCAAATTAATTAGCTTGTTAGACTTTCAGCCTTGATTCCAGAATTAATTCTTCTTACGTATTAGTCTTAGCTCCATATCGTACTGGTAAAAAAATGTCAGAATCTGGCTTTAAAAGGCTTCTTGCAATGAATGCCTCTCAAACTGAAAGTTTATAATCTTTAACGTACTGTTAACGTTGAAGCGAATTTTCATCATTTTAACTTGAGCAGCGACTATTTCTGACCTGTCCAAGTGGGTCAGGACTGCTGACCACAGCACACGCCAAAACCGCTTGGTGTGAAATCAGACATTCTTCAACATCACAAGGATTTATGTTGACGCTGAAAGAGTATAATTTAATAATTTGATGAATAGATACATTGAAAAAAGTTAGTTCAAAGGCTAGTGTAGTCCAGTGAGTGTGACTGGTGAGAGGCACGTCACGTGATCAGATGATCACGGGCACATTCTTGTTGTCGCACTTCGCATGCTTGCCTTGGAAAGGTCTCGCATTCTAAATGCCAGCCGCGAAAATAACCTCCAGAGTGTTATGGCGCTTCTTCTCCAAGATGAGTTTTTTTTGGCAGGCGATACAAATCTTTTTGTTCAAGTCATGTTTCATCCCTGTAAAGCTCTGACAAAGTGTAATCGGCAGTACTCGAATGTCAGATTATAAACAATCTAAAACAAGATGTTGCAGCAGCAAAACACTTAGATGTGCAATGCAAGTTGCTTCCTAGATGAAGTCTCTACCAATTTAACATGGTCCGTATTGGAAGTAGATAAGTAAATGGATAAGTTATTGGTGGCTTTTAAAGTTAAACTATAAAGAACAAAGTTTTTAAATTTAAAAAATGTTCATATTTACTCCTTACGCTCCATGTCGGTATATTTGCAGGAAATAGCCTCGTACTATTAGTTGATCAGTACTTTTTTTTTCTTACCCGTTAACAAATATGATGTCATCGGTTCGTCCTACAATCCAGAAGTAACCGTCTTCGTCTTTATAGCCAAGATCACCTGACCATTTATGCAACACATAGGAACACTTAAAAAGGCTGGCTTTCATTGGCGAATACGCATTGGGTAATATAGCAGTAAGGTGCTGTTGGTTAAGTAGCATTTTTTGTTAGAAAAACTTGAAAATCTCCTATCAAAAAGAGCTGATCATCAAAATCTTACTGATTCTGCGTACGACGTTTATACTTATGCGCTAGAATGGATTACTTCGTAAAATGATGCTCACTTGCATACTGCCCATAACCAGTATGGAAAACTGACGATATGAAAAGACTGTTGACTGTTGAACTAGAATTGCAAGTTGTTTCGAGCAATTCTCAGATAATACACACCTTCGTCGGATAGAAGGTTATGACCAGAATTTGAATTCAAATCATGGTGAGATCATACAATGTTCAAATTAACTGAATATTGACCAAATATTGCGTATTTTACAGACGAACTTCAGCCCTAAAGATGAACAGAAATTAACTCGCCAACCTGTGATGTACAAGTCTCCTGAAAAACGAGCTGCTGTTTTGTCGGGATCATCCTGTCGATATAAAATGGCACTTCGTAATGAATCATGCCATCAAGAAAAAGCCATATGGTGAAAAAAGGAAACACACATGCATGCTTTAGGTAATACCGTTTGGCTCAGTTGTAAGGTTTAACTCACCACATAACGACTAAACAATCCCGCAGGACGATAAGGTTTCACACGGACTGCAATCTTTCCTATTTTACCTGGAGACAGTTCTTGGTAGTTATCATCAATAACCTGGAAAAAATGGAATAGATTACAACACGTGCGAAATTTATGGGATTACACTTGCATGCACAACTGAAACCGAATTAATTCAAGCTCATTTTAAAGTAGTGTGCAATTTTAATTTGTCGCTTTAACGCTATTTTTTTTTTTTCTTAGAGCGTGAGCAGGTGAAACATGGCGAATCCTACAAACCGATTGGCTCTTAAAAATTCTGGAACTACCGATTTCACCTGTAGTCAAAGGAACGGGCCGACTTCCTAGCGCGAAAACATTTTTTGGCAACGTGCAAATACGCCACAGAGTGTACTCAAGACGTACACAGGGTTTCTCTTAACAGACCTCCAGGCAGACAAGCAACAACACTACTGATGGAGTAATACACAACTGACTGAGTATGCAATGGCATATTTCAGGCGGATGAACAAATACCGTGAAGTCTGAGGTACAAACCACTTCAATGTTGCAACAATTTGGGTTAGTTTCTGACTAATGTTTGAGCAATAGTGAACAACTTTTTAAATGGAGAAGAAGTATTTAACACAATTGACCTGGCCGGGATTAGTTGGAAAGAAGGATAACGCAATCCACCGGATAAATCACTATCCAGTAGATAGCGTGGTTTGTTTTGCTAACACTTATCCACTGGATAGCGATTTATCCGGTGGATAACCGGTGGGGTACTTCCAGAAAAGTTGGGTGGGGGTGTGCGGCCCACTTCCCAAAACCCTTACCCCATTTATGGCCAAAATCTGCAATTTTTTGCTACCCTAT